CTTGTGCATCAGGAAGAAAGGCAGTGCTGTGTGAGGACTGGGTGTTATTTGGTGAGGGGCGTAAACTATATGGGTTGTAACACACTTTGAATTTGAATTACTTTTGAGAAGACATTTCTCTAGACTCAAAGGTCTCTACTGGAGAGATGAATTTTGGAACCTTTAGCACACATATTGCTTTTAAAGTCATGGAAATTGAGGTTGAAAAACTAGAAAGAGACTGTAAATAAAGGAAGGAAGAGGACCCAGACTGAACTCTGAGAAGGCTTAAGTTTAAATGGCTAAGGAGAGGCGAATGGCGTAGCAAAGGACACTTAGAAGACTGCGTGAGAAACCCAGGAGAATACAGGACTGCAACAGAAGAGGGTTTTACAAAGAAAGGAGTGGTAAACTGACATTGCTAGTGAGAAGTCCAGTAAAATGAAACGGAAAAAATACTCATGTGGTTAACAGGGTAGAAGGCATAAAATAACAAGAACTAGTTGTACAGAGGGATGGGAACTACATATTTTGTGAAGGAATGGAGACCTCAAATACATGCAACTAAATATTTCAAGAGGTTTGGCTGAGAAGGTAGAATCAAGTGGAGTTGTGATGTAGTGTACAATGCAGAGGGAGTTTTGTTTGTTTGTTTGTTTAGTTTGGAGAGAACTAAGCATGGTTAAAATTGATGAAAAAGGCCTAGCAGGTAGGTAAAGATCAAATATTTATAAGAGAAAGGGATTAATTAATAGTGGTATGATTACCTAGAAGGCAGGAGGGGAAATGGGATCCAAACAATAAAGATTCTGGTTTCTAATTCAGAATTGTTATTCTTTGAGCTCTGCCTGTGTTTTTTGGAAGTACTTGTGAGAGTATGTGTTGGAAATTCTTTAATGTCAGCGGTCATTGTTTCTTCTTCATTTACCATCTTCCTAAATTATGGTAGGGAAGGATTTGTTCATGTGGCCAGGACCATTCAGCCTCGTAGTGCAAAAGCTGTGACATACTTTAAAAGATGGCAAAATAGGAATTTAAATGATTGGATTTCTAGGCAAGGGAATCACTAATGGATTTTATATATAAGGCATTGACATTATGGCTTCTTGAACTGATAACCCAAAATTGATCAATAATTTATAAGGAGCCTAGATTTTAACCAGGACATTTGTTCTTACTGCATCATATTCATACATTAGTTAATGGTTAAGAAGAACTTACTTGCTGTGGGAAACTGCCATGATAATAGACACAGAAGCTTATTAAAAGTTATTCTTCATTAGATCAGGATTTTTTGTTTTTGTCTTTGTTTTATTGTAGTACAGGGTTTTAGAACATGTACCAGTTATAGTAGGTTGATAAAAACTTGATAGCCATATGAGCATATGAGTCTGTTTTGGCATTCTTAAAATATATAAACACATGTAAAGTGAGAAATCACTATATAAGTATAGTTTTAAATTGATAATGTATATTTTTTAAAAGCTAACATTTAGCATGGTTTTATAAAAGATATATATTTCTCAGTTGTAGTTTCATCATCTTTATGAAAGTTGATAAAAAACCGTGCTCAGTGTATTTCCCTTTAAAATATACATTTAGTATTTATAAATATACTTTAGAAAAGTATGTGGTTATAGAGTAGAATATTAACAAATTTTGCTGTCTTTTT